TGACTATGTTATACACATCCAGCTTAATGCTTCAGATCTGCAAGTGGCTTAGCCTCGTGCACATCCCTTTCCGGAAAGTAATGATTGAATAAAATAATTATAAATACTTTGCATACTCTCACTCCGCATTTTCTCTGTCCAGTAAAAGAATAAAAAGAAGAGGATTCAATACTTCTGTTCTGAGTTCTTTGTTGTGCTGTTTTGATCATTATAGATAGTCTTATTACGCTAGGTTTGATTATGGCTATTATCTACATTATAGAAAGTAACAAAAATAAAGAAAACACATTAAATGAAGTGTGTCCAAACCTGGCTGGTAGTATATATTTTAGAGCTGAAATTAGCTAAAATGAGAAAACCACACAGAATTATGTAATGATGATATGATAATGATTTTCACTCCATCTATTCTTGATGTTAATGAATTCAGCGGTAAAATAAAAACTTAAATTCAGCAGATTGATGTTTTTTTCTGCAGCACTTATCTTGTCTTATTAGCATCAGTTGTACTCATCTATGAGTCTTTATGATCTGAGGCACCATTTCATCTGTAAAACATGCTCCATCAATCCAATAGTGCATATGCTCAATTTTTTTCTTCCTTCTCCTTTGTGTATGCTTTGTTCTTGTATGTCAGTGCTGTTTGTTTCCCACCTAAGAAGCCAGTCCATTTGGGAGTAATGGGAGACAAGGACATGCAATGTTTGTCACTTATGTCAACCATACTTCACAATTTGGTTTGGATCACAGTTTTTTTCCTGGAATAAGTCTCGGCACAAGCTTTCATTACTCAAATTCTGACCAAGGATCTCCCTTTAGTTAGCCATCTTACTTCTGTGTGTAAGAGAAGGCATTTGTGCTTTGCATCCATCTCATCACAAAGCCGCTTGAATAGACCTGAGTTTAGGGCATTCGCTTTGATGTAGTTAATGACTTTAATGACACTGTTTATTGTGTTTTTAGGTTCAAGTAACATTTTTTGGATAATCACAATTTCCCTGTAAATGACAGTGCATAGACTTGCAGTCAAGTGCAAACTCCACTCAGCTCTCTGTGTATATGCAGACCAAGAGAAACCAATCCAGTTTTTCTGATATGTAACCATTCAGAATTTTGAATAGTTCTACACCACTGGTTTTGCTTGGTAGTGACAGCGCAAAAAAAAATGTTGTCATGCACACATATATCTTTCACATACAAGTAGTATTAGCCGTCAATTTCAGTAGACTCATTAACCTGAATTATGTACCTCTTCAACAACTGTGTCTTAGTGTCCCCTGCTATATCTTCAATTTGCCTGGTGATGGTATGAGCCAAAGGTGGAACCTACATATTTTTTTCCTTTTTTTAACAGCAGTCTCTCCTAGAAAGTTGAATCGTGACCTCGATTTGTAGGGTGCTCCCTTACACTCTTAAGAAACGTGAGATGACTGATGGGAATCATCACTTATATGCTGCTTAATTCAATTGAAAGGATGCAAATAGATTGAATTGTTGCTGTTTTTTTTGTATGTAGTCTGTCAGGCTGTCTGATCACAGAGGAAGGCTGTACTTGTTTGGCATCAGCTCTGAGTGCCAACCCTTCCCATCTGAGAGAGCTGGACCTGAGCTACAATCAACCAGGGGGCTCAGGGATGGAGCTGCTGTCAGCTGGTCTGAGGGATTTAGGCTGGAGACTGGACACTCTCAGGTATGGATCTGTGCTCTTTTTCAGTCCAGTTTTATCCAACCACTGATAGGATTTCTGGATGTGCAAGGAAGTGTCTATCTGCCAGTGGTACATATCGTGCAGGGGCCTCTCCTTACATGATGGTTCCTCCTCTTGCTTCTCTTTCTTGGGTTTCTGCTGCATGAAATATTCACTGGGCATTGGGTTGTCATGGCCATCATTCTCTTGTATGTATTTACCATCTCTTGACTCAGTGGTTTTAGCTAATTATAGGCTAAACTCCAGCCTTCCTTTCATATCAAAAATTCTTGAAAGAGTAGCTGTCAAACAAGTCCTCTGGAGAGGAAGGTCTTATGAGTTTTAGTCAGCTTTCATAGAAACCGCTTTAGTGAAGGTTAGAAATGATCTTTCTGAACTTGAATTAAAAGCCAAAGTGAAAAAGTGAGCATTAAGATGTGATTTAAAAGACTGAATAGACTTTGAAGTCAAATATCCTCTGGCAGATTATTCCAGTGTCTGAGTGATACTACTGTAAATGCCAGATCTCCTCTATGCTTCAATTGAGACCTTGGTTGTACTAAGAACATCTGGTTAGACAATATCAGTGCTTTTTTGTTGTCATCCATGTTGAGGAGTTGGCTTAAATAACTGGGTGCCATATTATTTGTAACTTTAAAAGTAAGTAAACTAATATTAAAATTAATATGATATTTGTCATGGAGCCAGAACTGAAGTGATGTGTGCATTCTAACACCCGATAAAGACGTGCAGCAGCATTTTGGACTAACTGTGAGCAATGAAGAGAAATAGAGAGAATCTCAGTAATCCAGACTGGAAGTGATGAAGGCATGAATTTGTGTTTCTTGATCTCTTCGAGAAAGATAAGGCTTTGATTGGCAATTTCACGTAACCTGGTTTTCACTACTGTGGATGCTTGCTTCTCTAATTTAAAATAGCTATCTAAAACACTCCGAGATTCCTTATAGTGTGAGAAAGATGAGAAGTAAGCAGACCGAGGGTATCAGTTAACTTATCCAAAGGGACTTGACTTCCAATAACCTTAACTTCAGGCCCCCAGGAGGCATCCTTCTCTAGATCATCTCTAGATGAGGCATCCTTCTCTAGATCAGCAGCGGCTCTACTCTTAGCATTTCTCAAATGGCTGAGCTTCTCACCCACTTGGCTAAGCCTAGAAGCCTAGAATTTCTGTCCATAAAAATTATGAACAGAATTGATGACAAAGGGAAGCTCTGGCGAAGTCCACCACCCACCAAGAACAAGTCCAACTTATTGCCGGCTATGCAGACCAAGATCTTACAGTGGTGTATAAGGATTCTGGCCCGTAGTGATGGGCCAGACACCCCATATTCCCGGAGCACCTCCCACAGGACCCACCAAGGGACATGGTCGAATACCTTCTTCAAGTTCTCTAAACTCCTATGTACCCTAAAGTATTCTTGAGATGATGAAGAGCTGATCCAGTGTTCCACGACCAGGATGACAACTGCATTGTTCCTCCTGTATCCGAGGTTCAACTAACGGATGGACTCTCCTCACCAGCAACCCTGGCATTGACCTTCCCAAAGAGTTTCATAACCAGCTTGTTTGGTTAGTTGTGACTTACAGCTAACGTTAACAGTGTCTAGAAAACTTTTGTTGGGGGGGGGCCAGGTAGGGGCACAGATTTGGAAAGGTGGCAGATGTTATTGGCAGATAATGCTAAAAACAATTCTACCAACCGTTCACCATAATTCAATAACCCTATAAACCTAATAACCAAATGCGCTTTTAACTCTTATTAGAATGAGATTTTAACCACTACGGTGCAAAGTTTTTAGATACTGCGTTGATAAAGTACAAGAGATACAATCAGTCAGTGTTCAGCAGATAAGGACATCAATATTTGCATAGTATTTTTACTGACATGTAGTGCACATATGTCCATCCATCCATCCATCTTCATCCGCTTTATCTGAGGCCGGGTCGCGGGGGCAGCAGCCTAAGCAAAGAGGTCCAGACCTCCCTCTCCCCAGCCACCTCCTCCAGCTTGTCCGGGGGAATACCAAGGCGTTCCCAGGCCAGCCGAGAGATATAATCTCTCCAGCGTGTCCTGGGTCTGCCCTGGGGCCTCCTCCCCATATGTTTTGGGCAAAAACATTTTTAACATACAATTGGCAAATTAGCCAATGCCAATGCAAAACCAATGCCTATTAAAAAAAGAAGATAATCTTCTCACAAACTGGTGTTTGATTTTGAAACAGGAAAAAAGTGGGGAAACGAATGAAAAGACTAACATTTGAATGAAACCTGAAAGTAAGTAAATACTTTCTATGCTGCCTTATGGTAAACTTTGGTAATATTGATAAAGAACAACACTGGCTGATGATGAAATGCAGTCAGCTGGCATGGTGACACTGCCAGTATTAACCTGCAGGGCTGGACTGGGACAGAAAATTGGGCATTTTGACTACAGACCGGCCCCCCAGGTATTAAAGCCATAAAGTCTTTGAATGAAAACTATGGGTTCAAAATGTGGTCATAAATATTTTGTACTTGTAAATCAGTTTTGTATGTGTAAAAAGAATGTGTGTGTGTGTAAAAAAGATTTGTGTGTGGACTTAGCCAAAAAAACCCCCTGCAAGTTACAAGTACGAATCTTGACCCTATTTTTCTTCCTCTCATCTGATTGGTCAATGTCATGTCAATCACAAATGTAACAATCCAATCAGAGAACAGATGGGTTTGGCTGTCGGAGGGGCAGTTTTTTTGAACATAACTTTCGCCGAAAAACTGTTTCCTGCGGTGCCTCTTTCGTGCTTGGCTCTCCTACCTTTGCTAACATGATGCTCATAGTGCAGAAGCCGATGCTGCATTCACTTAAAATTTAGTTTTTCTCTTTAGGGCCTTTATGAGCCTATACTGGTGGTTTTTAAAGTCATTTTTGGCTTTTCTGTATAGTTTCTGGCATGCTTAGAACTCAAATTTCACTGTGGAAATAGTTTATGTTGATGCACAAGCTGTTTTTTGTTGTTGATAAGCTCTGGTGGACAGCAAATGCTGGCCAGTTTCCTCCCCAGCTTAACATAAGAGGAATATTAAGATAATGAAGGTCAGAGTTTGAATCATTCATATTTCATTCAATACAGCTGTGTACAGACAGATACAGGATCAATCCAACTTATCAGCAGTTTGATCCACATATGGATTGAAGTGTATTTGTGAAAATGTTGGACTGTTCCTTTATCAATGTCTAACAGTATGTGTATGAGAGCCATGTAATGTCCATGTATGCATGCTGACTGTGCTGGTCTGACCCCCCTCCTCCTTTCAGGGTGGAGCCTGCTGGAGTCCGATGGTTGAGACCAGGTCTGAGGAAGTGTAAGTGTGTTTTTAATGGGATTCATGAAAACAAAGCAGCACACATTCAACCATCTTCAAACTGTCACATCACTCACATCTCTGATGTCAGGAGTCATCATCAAAGTGTCAATCAATGAACAGATGATGGATCAATAACTGCAGCTGGATTGTGTTTGTTCTCTCATCAGATTCCTGCCAACTCACAATCGACACAAACACAGTGCACACAAAACTCCAACTGTCTGACAACAACAGGAAGGTGACACATGTGGAGGAGGTTCAGTCATATCCTGATCATCCAGACAGATTTGATGGCTGTTACCAGCTGCTTTGTAGAACTGGTCTGACTGGTCGATGTTACTGGGAGGTCGAGTGGAGAGGAAGAGTTTTTATATCAGTGAGTTACAGAAGAATTGGATGGAAAGGAGACAGTGATTACTGTGCGTTTGGATGGAATGATCAGTCCTGGAGTCTTTCATGCTATGATGGTCGTCCTGATTCCGTCTATCATAACCAGACATCAGAATCTGTCTCCTCCTCCACCTCCTCCTCTGTCTCTAACAGAGTGGCAGTGTATGTGGACTGTCCTGCTGGCACTCTGTCCTTCTACAGAGTCTCCTCTGACACTCTGATCCACCTCCACACCTTCAACACCACATTCACTGAACCTCTTTATCCTGGGTTTGGACTGTGGTTTGGTTCCTCAGTGTCCCTGTGCTGAGTTGAGTGTAAAGAGTGTCTCCCTGTTAGAGAAACACTCCAAGGAACTGAGAATCGAGATCTTGAAAGCAAAACAGAGCTACAAAAACCTTCTTGAAAGCAAATTTGCTGCAACAAATATTGGGTCTGCTTGGACTTGTATGAAAACCACAGCAGGGTTTCAAAATCCCCAGAGCAGCAGTCAGATCATTTTAGATGGTTTTAATTCAGACAGAGATTTTGCAAACGCTTTAAATATGTTTTATGCTCATTTTAGTTCTTCTGATTTCAGCGAGGATATTTTGGAAGTGAAACAGAAACTGAGAGATACTCAGCACTTTATCATTGACCTCAGCGATGTCAAAAAGGCCTTTCATACAGTCAATGTGAACAAGAGCCAGGGTCCTGATAATATTAGTGGCTGCCTAATTAAATCTTGTGCTGATGAACTCAGTCCTATATTTCAGGTTATTTTTGATAAATCCTTGCAAACACAACATGTGCCCACTCTTTGGAAAGAAGCAGTCGTGGTTCCTGTCCCTAAATCTAAACGACTTCAGGCCTGTTGCCTCACTTCAGTTGTCATGAAAGTCTTTGAAAAAATCCTCAGAAATGTGATTATGAAAGAAACTGAACATCAACTGGATCCAATGCAGTTTGCATACAGGCCCAACAGAGGAGTGGAGGACGCACTTTTGACTTTATTAAATCTGATTCTTAAACATGTAGAGAGTAAAGGGACTTTTGCAAGACTTCTTTTCATTGATTTTTCTTCGGCTTGTAATACAATACAGCCCCATATTTTAATTAAAATACTTTTTAGAACAGTTTGAAATCAGGAAAAACCTGGTGGGCTGGATTTTAGATCTTTTAACTGACAGGTCACAAAGAGTGAGAATAAATGGGGTTCTGTCTGACCCAGTGTTCTCCTCCACAGGTTCTCCTCAAGGCTGCGTCCTATCGCCCTTATTATTCACTCTCTATACAAACATGTGTCAGAGCAGATATGAAAACAGGGCCATCATTAAATATGCAGATGACTCTGTTATTGTCAGCTTTCTGAAAGAGGGTGAAATTAACCACGGCCCAGTCATTGATGACTTTGTTCAGTGGTGGGAGGAGTCTTATCTCCAGCTGAACATATCTAAAACAAAAGACATGGTTGTTGATTTTAGGAAACAACAAAATGGGCAAGCAGTCACTTTAATTAAAGGTCAGAAAATAGAGCAAGTGCAATCATATAAATATCTTTGGACCATAATAAATGAAAAACTGAACTTTGATCAAAATTGCAAATCAGTTTGTAAAAAGTGTCACCAGCACCTTTATTGCCTTAGGAAACTTGTTCATTTCCACATTGACAAAATTTTTTTTAACTTTGTTTTCTCGTTCTTTTATTGAGTCTGTTTTATCCTTTTGTTTGGTGGCATGGTTTGGTCAGACCTCTGTCACAGAGAAAAACTCTCTAAATCTGATAGTGAGATGGTCCAGTCGTCTGATAGGTGAGCCACAGTCTTGTTTAGCCTCCCTGTACTCTAAGCAGGTACAGAGGATGGCTTTATCAATCCTTAAAAATGGTTCCCATCCTCTAAGGGGTGAATTTCAGCTTCTTCCCTCAGGACGGAGGTTTCTATTTCCGAGATGCAGGACAAAGCGTTATAAAAATAGCTTTGTCCCCGTTGCTGTCACTGAATTAAATAAGAACTGTTTTTGATTCGAAATATTAAAATTACTATATATGTGCCACAGTGAGGTGTATATCTGTACTAGGTATGTGTGTTTTTAAAGGGATGCCAAATGCTGTCATTTTTTTCTGTAAAGAAAATTTACCTTGCCTATGAGTATAAATAAAGTTACCTTGACCATAATAGACACATATCTATATTATTGCTAACATATATTGTAATATATCTATATCACTAAAGCACTTCTGGATGGATGCAAACAGCATTTCGTTGCCCTGTACCTGTGACATGTGCAATGACAATAAAGTTGAATTCTATTCTATTCTATTCTAAACTGTTCTAAATTATCCATCTTGAAATGTTTTGTCTCTCAGTTAATAGCCAATTAAATTAAAAATCAGAGGTAGCTTAAATTAAAATAGTTGAAGTTTTTTCTAGTTTGATGTCTTTAGTGTGACGATGTTATTCTGATGTGAATAACTTTTTTATTTATGCTCTTTTATGAATAAATATTTTATGTGTATATTCATGTCTTGTTAGTTTCTTACTTCATGGCTTCAGGCTGCCCAGGCATCCACTGCACATCTTCCTGTTGCAGGTGTTTGGAGCCTGACAGGAAGGGCATGGTTTGGTTTTTGGCTTTCTCATTCCTGCAAATGAAGATAGTGTCACGGCGGAGCAGGGAGGACTCGGCGCAGATTGAAGTCTCAGAAAAACAGGTTTATTTACACACTCCAGGTGCACTATATACAGGTGAAGGAGAGGGGGGCCAGGGTTCCCAGGGGTGCAGAGAGGAGTCGGGAAAAGTGTCCAGAGTCCCCAAACCAAGCACGAGAGATCTGCATACAGAGAACAAGAGTTAACACGGAACTTTCACGGACAGAGCTCAAAACTGGCTGAGGCTAAAGTAGCACTGACGAGCGTTACTCAATAGTCCAGCGGCGAGGTGCTCTCAGTCACTGCCTTAAGTAGCGGGAGCAAACAAGGTGAGGAGCCACAGGTGATAGCCTACAGGTGGTGGAGGCCGGGAGCTCACAATGAGCTCCGCCCAGGCAGCAAGCAGAGAGAGAGGAGAGAGAGAACAGACAAAAACATAAATCATAACATGTAGCCACACAGGGCCAACCGAGCAGGCACGGGGACCATGACAGATGGAACATGTAGGGATTATTTCAGGTCTGTTTTGGTGAGAAGATTACAAAAATAATTTCTGACCATAGAAATAAATAATATTACGAGGCAGTTTTACACCATATTTAGGAAAAAAAAAGTCAGTTACGAGATTAAAGTCATTAATATTGAGTTAATTACGAGAATAGGGTTAAAAATACTGAATTAATTATAGAAAAGATTGCTAAAATAGAGCAGTACTAACGTTAGCTGGGTTGCCAAGCAAGTGTCTTACACATGAGAATACATCACAAAAGAAAAAAATATATAAACTTTTGCAGAAAGTGTAAAGTGTAAAGACCTCAGAGCTGGACTGATGTGGTCCACTTTTTTGGTCTTAGTGAGGACTCGAGCAGCAGAGTTCTGAGTGAGCTGCAGTTGTCTGACTGATTTTTTACGTAGACCTGTAAAGATGCTGTTACAGTAGTGAAGCCTACTAAAGATGAATGCATGGACTAGTTTTTCCACAGCCCCATCCTCCAGGGCATGAAGTCCCAGATGAGGGGTCACTCAGCAGCCGCAGAGCATAGGCTAGGGGGGGTTGCAGTCACGTGCCCATGAGCTCCGCCGGCAGCCAGCTGTGCCAGAGTGACCGAGCCCCAGGCCGAGAGGCCGAGGGCACCCCACCCCCGAAGGGGCCCGAGCGAGCCCCAGGCTCCAGGCCTCGACACGCAGCCACCAGGAGTGAGCCTGTGCGTACCTGGATGCATACATACTCTTTTCTCTATCATACTTTTTTTGGTTTACAATAAAAGCCAAATTGGTTTGCAAAATCTAATGTCATGTAAGAAGCATATAATGTGTACAAGTCTGTATAATCCCTTGACAAATAAAGAATGGATAAAAGGGAATTTTTCCTTCCCACTGTCGCCAAAGTGCTTGCTCATATGATTGTTGGGTTTTCTCAAAATTTGTAACATTTTACGGTCTACCTTAATATATAAAGTGCCTTGAGGTGACTGTTGTTGTGATGTGGTGCTGTATAAATAAAATTGAACTGAGTAACTGAGTGCTATGAGAGGAACTTTAGACTGGCAGCGTGTCCAGGATGTGCTCCAACTTTTGCCCTCCTGAATCTGAAATGGGTAAGCAGAGGAAAACGGATGTATAAATGCTGTTTATTTAACCCTTTACGACCTACCATAGAAGTCTGCCACAGCTTATCTTTATATTTTTTCATGCTGCATTTTAAGTTGCCATACATCAATACAACTATTATAGACCAAATTGTAATATGTGTATGCATTAAGTCCATAGTAACTACATAAATTGCAAAAAAGTGAAATAAACAACAAAAAAAATTTAAATTGTTCTTCATTTTTTTTTTACATACATTTGTAGTTATAGAAATTCCAGATGTTTATCCCTCAAACCAGTAAATACAAAAAACTTGCACAAAATAGCTTCCAACAACAAGAAATTTATTTTGAGTGTCGTCATAGTTTTATTTTTGAGATACACCAATTTTTATATACTGCAGGAAAAACGAAAATAAATATTGTAATCTAAATTTGCAAAAAAAAAAGCATGTGCATCAAAATAAATTATTCAAAGCAATTTGAGTTCTAAGCATTCCAGAAACTATACAGTGTAAAAACACCAGTGTAGGCTTTAAAGGTGTGTTACGAACTCGCATGTCCATGTGTTTGTTTTGTGCAGGTGTTGTGTCTTTTTATGTTAATTTAGCTGTGCCAGGGCCCTGCTCCGATTGGTGCGTGGATACACCGCCCCGATGTGACTGGTCCCAGCTGGAGGACCCGCCCATTAAAAGGGAGGCTGGAGTGCTACAGTGGGGAGAGGTCCTCGCGTTTCTCCTCATGACCCAGCAGTACTCCTGTGGCAGCCGCTGGCTGCAGTACGCTTGAAAGTTGTGGAAGTGGAGTGGGTAGGGGTGAGCTGCAGTTTCTTTTGACCACCCGTTTTCTCCTGTTTTGAGTTAGTTAAGGAGGTCAGACTCTGTCTTTATTTTCGACTTTGTTTTGGTAAGGTCAGGGGTGCGGGATTTGTGTAGATTTGTTTTGTTTATTGTTTTGGCCTTGGCTCACCCTGAAGTGTTGACACTCCCGTTTTGGTTCCTTTATTTCACATTGTAAACAAATCACCTCATATCTAACGGATTTGTTTCTTGTGGCTGCTTGGGTCTTGGGGGGGGGGGAAGCGAATGCCTCACTCATGTTATGGCCTGGCCCTAGACGGGCCGTAACAGGTGTCGAAGGTAAAAAAACAAAAAAACAACCTACAATTTTTGTGAAAATGACGTTACTTCCAGTTTCAAGCAGGTAACATGGACATGCCATCGTTCGTCTACGTCTATTTCAACATAGGAAGTGTTACAAACAGCTGATCGGATCGGCAAAGCGTGTTTCTGGAATATTATGTTTTTGTTGCTGCAAGTGCTTTTTATGCAATTTTTGCAAAGCTATATGTGGGAGGAAACCATGACCTAGGACAAGCTGATGGCATGAGATGTAAGTACAACTCCTCCAACACTGCAGCGTGTTGTGCGCTCTGCTGAGAAGGTGATTGGCTGCAGACTCCCATCTCTGCAGGACCTGTACACCTCCAGGACACTGCGGCGTGCAGCCCGGATCTCAGCTGACCCTTCTCACCCTGGACACAGTCTGTTTGACCTGCTCCCCTCAGGCAGGAGGCTCCGGTCCATTCGCACCAGAACCTCTCGCCATAAGAACAGTTTCTTCCCCTCTGCTGTTGGACACATGAACAATAACCACATGACTGTCCCCGCCACTAACACATGACCCTACGCTGTGTCACTGCATCATTTCATGTTTGGCACTGATCACCACCTGCACTCATGTATATATGTTTCTACGTAGCACTCATAATTCTTATTCTCATGTATATATCTCATGTATATCTCATGCACATATCTTTCTTTCTACATAGCACTTTTAATTCTTATTCTCATGTATATATCTCATGTATATCTCATGCACATATCTTTCTTTCTACATAGCACTTTAATTCTTATTGTTTGCACTGAAGCACCGCAGCAATTTCCTAATGTTGTAAACCTCAACATCTGGCAATAAACCCCATTCTGATTCTGAATCTCTGATTTTATCCATCCATCCATCCATCCGTCTACCGCTCCTAACAGTTTTAAAGGGTTAATGAATACTTGTGTACCTTAGTCTATATAAAATGTTCATTGAACAAATGTATAAATGGTGCTTCACATTCTTTCACATCACATGCAGATGATATTGATATATTTCTTGCACTGTACTTTCTTCATGTTACTGAAACAGCCAACAGTAAAGTGACACTGTTGCTTGTCTAATCATACTGAGAACTGACAAATATGAGGACAGACTGTTGACCTCACTGAGACTAATAACAAACAAAGGGCTCAGTATCAGGTGAAATCATCTTCCGCCCTTCATCCATTGTCTGTTCATGATGTCCTTCACGGACCTTTGCTCTTTGAAATCAGATTAATAATGAAACGAACACATCAAACTGATTGATCATTGGACCTGATCCTGATGTTATCTGTTTGTTTCTTGGCCTGGTTATTCCCTGCAGAGGAAACAGAAGAGAGTCACACAAACAAATAAATAAACCAACATGAAAAATCATGAACTAACTCACTAACTAACCTATGACTGTGAGCCACACTCTCTTGTATCTCCAGGTTTCCTTGTTGTTGACCTCACAGCCGTATCTCCCACTGTCACCCTCCGTGGGGTTTTTCAGGGTCAGACCGAGGTCTCCAGCGGTCAGCAGGTCTTTCTTCATCTCCGTTCGATCTTTGTAATGTTCGTCCTGTTTGTCAGGATGGTCAGAGCGGTTCTCATACACATAGACCTTCATGTACTTGGGTTCAAGGCATTTCCACACCACTTCAGTGTCTTCAGGCAGGTTTTCTGTGGTTTGAAAGGGCAGCAGGACAGACTTCGCCCCGTCCTTCACTTCTACATGACAGTCTGAGAGGACAACAAACACAACATGAGCTCTATAAAGACAAACATTTGACTTTTTAATCCACCAGTTTTTTTTTCTGTTAAATCACTTGCAGATGCTTTCTAACATGCAGTACCATGAAGTAATTGATTTCTTTCTTCTTGTTTTTGCATATTTGTTACCCATAAATGTTTCAGATCATAAAATGTTTTTAATCTTAGACAGAATAGTCTAAGGAGCTTGGGAAAAAAAGCATCTGGTAAGTTGCTTGAAGACGTTTCACCTCTGATCCGAGAAGCTTCTTCAGTTCTAAAGGTCAAATGGTGGGGAGTCCCAGATTTAAACCCAGTGGGAGTAACACCCCAAAGAGGGACAAATGACCCCCTGATGATCCTCTACAAAATCACATGAGCCAAGGTATGAAAACGGGTGTCACAATCAGCCAGGGTTTTGGGTGAGCTCCTTGTGAACAAGAGAAACTCAGCTCACTGTCATCCATCAGCATTTAAAAACTGCATTTTGTATATACCGGGGTTATCTTATCTAACGTTAAAAACCATATTAACCCTGGAGAACCAATGGGGTCAGAGCCGACCCCATTGGTTTCCTGAATTGTTCAAATAATTATAAAAAGGTAATGGTGAACTGGACTTTACGCAGAAGCAGAGCATGGGTTCTCCGGGGTTAATATGGTTTTATTTATTTGTCACCCATAAATGTTTCCGATCATGAAACAATTTAAAATTTTAGACAGAATAACCGTAGTATCTGCTGTGTTCAAATTTATCTTTGAGCTTGGCCGCCTCATTAACTGCTAATATTTAACAGTTTCTCTTCCATCAATTTCCCACAAATACCTTCATTAGTTCTTCCAAACCATCAAATTGTCACACACAATCTGTGAATAAGGATCATTTGCAACACTGACCTTTGACTTTCAGCTCCACTTTTTTCTCCATCAGGACTTTTCCCTCCCTGCTGTAGGCGGTGCAGGTGTAGGTGTCTGTGTCAGTTTCTGTGGGGTATGTCAGGGTCAGACTGAGGTCTTCATTCATTTCTGTTCGGCTCCTGTAACGTCTGTGCGGTTTTTCAGGCTGATCAGAGTCTTCCTGATACACGTGGACTATCCTGCCATCTCTGTCCTTCCACACAACTTTATTTACCTGAGACAGGTGAACTGTGGCTTTGCAGGGCAGCTTGGCAGACGTCACACCTGAACCCACCTCCACCTCACGAACTGAAAGAACAACCAAGCACAACATGAGCTGTACAGCATCAGCAGCAAACTTCCTTTGACAGATTCTTTTCTGAACCTAACTGTTATGAGCAATGTGCAATGTCACCTGATGCTTTTAAGTTTCATTTTGAAGCAGGGATACAAATAACAAAGAGATCACAAAAGGGAACTAACATCAATGGAGCAACAGAACCGGAAACAGGGTAATGAAACTCAGAAGTGCTGCAAAATATTACACTCAAGGAATGAAACACTGTAGAACTAAGTAATGGATCAATGACACTAAGGATTATGAAGGATAGAAGCATCCAGATTTTTCATAGAATTATTGAGTAACACGCAGACATACACTCCTACATACCTTCTTTATTTTTCAGCCTTTTATATCCACAAAACATGCCGATACCACAGCAAATAGCCAGGACAACCACAGGAACCAAGACAGCTGAGAGAACTTTGGGCCAGACTGGAGGAGGTGGAGGAGGAGGTTCTGTAATTAGCACAAACACAAAAACCTGAACATCATCCAGCAGATTTTGATAAATTTAGAGTTCACTTCTCCTCTAACCTCTGTCTACGTCACTGACCTGTGACCTTCAGTTGTAAGTAAATCCAGCTCACATCTCGTCCAGCGATGCGGAGGATACAGGTGTAGGTTCCACTGTCAGAGACTGTCGGGTTTCTCAGAGTGAGGCTGAGGTCTCCAGTTTGCAGAGCATCAGCACTCATAGATGTTCGGTTGGTGTAACGCTGGTTTTGGTCATCCAAATCATCACCACTCTTCACACGAACATGGACTGTTGGGATGTTGAGGTCCTTGCGGTCCCACACTGCTGCTGTGAACTCACTGGGAGCAGCTAGTAACTGACAGGGCAGCAGAACAGACTCTGCCCCCTCGTACACCTCCACTGCTGTGGCATGCTGGGAAACTGAGGAGAGAAAATATGAAGCAGATGAATGCAGTGATTTTGTAACATCAGGTGAGACAGTATGAGGACCAACATGCACATGAGGTGAAAGTTTAACTACAGATGCAAAGATGGGTTCTGTTTACAAGTGATCAATTCAGCATCAGAGATTTTCACACCTATGTCATGGTCTGAGCTGGTGGACCGTGAGGAGTGGAGAGTGAAACCAAAAGCAGACACTTGCAAAAGAAAGTTATTTTTATAAAAAAGGCAAGCTGTTTATTAAAACTGGATGACACTACAAAACAAAAGGCAAAACAACAACTGAGACACAAAAAAAACTAAACTGAGCAAACAAAACCTAAAACCAACATACAGAACACAGGGAAGATGGAGTCATGAGGCAGTGGCTGGTAGCCAACCCACTACCTTTAGGAGAGTGAAACTAAAAGCCTGTCTAAGAGCATCAGTTTTGTAGCAATGAGTTTATGTCAAAGACAAACCACGGATATACTGTCCACTTTAATTCTCTGTCTCTTAAGCTGCAAGTGATTAAAGAATTAATAAAACATTATTCATTAGAGAAGAAAGCAAAATTCAAAACAGACTTGTGTATCTTGAAGTGTGTTCTTACAAGTCTGTGTGCATAGTTCAGTGATGACAACAATCACATCAAAGAGTTTTTGGTTATCAAGATTTTCCTGTGAGGTTTGAAAACTTGGAATGTTACATACATTACATTTTTCGACCAATAAGAAAGGGCGGAGTTTTTTTGGAGTCGTTTTTGCTCACAGGCTTTCGAGCGTTTTCTTTATAAAACGCAGTTTTTACCGTTTCTTCCTGCAGTAAATATAAACAACGATAGTATTCAGGAAGAAAACCAAACATTGCAGATATTTTTATCATAATTCTGGTTTTACGTGGCCGATCAACACAATTTAAAAACTGGTATAAAGGCCACACTTTTCCCGTCAATTGTTCCGTCTGTCCTGCTCACATCTCCAATGGTTGTACACGTTGTCATTAACGTGGCTTCACTCCACATCAGCAGCTTTGCTCGCTAAAACACCGGCACATAAGGACGCTGTCATAGCCTGTCATCCACGTTGATTAGCTGCATTTATACGAATGTGAATCGCATCATTAGCTGGACTATGGGATAAGGTGGCATCGTTGTAATCCCATACAGGAGCAGCCAGTCACTTACTGACTAACACTGCTGATGAACATAGCTGAGCAGTAACGCGTTGCAAGAAACGTGTTACTGTAATACCATTACTTTTTTCAAGTAAAAAGTAAGGGATTACTATTGCAAACAAGGTAATTAGATTACCGTTACTTTCCCGTAGGAACGCTGCGATACTGCGTTACTAAAACCGTGATTTTTTTTTGCGAGAATGTCTCATGACAGTGACGTAAGCAAGGGCAACGTTTGTGGCAACAGCTGTGTGCAGATCAACAATGGATCACATATCGAGTGCGGGAGAGAGTATGAGCGTGCAGCGTTTAAAGCGTGGAAGTACTGACCTTACTTTGAGTTTGATTCCATAAAATGTGACGAAAACATTAGTGTCCACTGTTCACTGCGTGGGAAGAAAACTTCTTTTTACAGCGAAAAAACCCCCTAAACTTCAGAGCAAGCACCGGGTACGCTACCACGTAATGGGAAACTCACAGACAAACTTGCTGATTCTTCCACTGACCGCTGCGGCACACCTGCACCAGGGTAAACACCTGCCTGCCCCACTCCTGCTTTACAGGTGAAAATAGAGCAACAGGACCGCTGAGTCTTTGATTTTATTTATTTTCTGCTGTGTTTTACTTGCATCTATTTGAAAGACTGAGTGTAAACACAAAAGCCTATTTTATTTTATGTCCTGGAATGTGCAGAAAATAGGTTCAAATGTTAAAGAAATCTCCTCCAGTTAGGGAATGTTGCATATAATTAAATCTTTGCTTGAAACATGAAGTTAAAAGATTAAAACTAATACAAAAAAATTTAAATGAGACTTTTTAAAAATTTGATTACATTTTGTATGATGGATTATGCAGAAAAAGTAGAATTGGGCTGAAAGATCTATCACTTTATCAATTATCTATTTATCTAATTTATCTATTATCACATCCGGTTCTTTTATATTCTTTTACTGACCGAGAAAAAACACAACTCAGTGTGGTCAAAGCTCAAAAATCATCTTTATTCTACATTTCCAGAAAAGGAGAGCTGCAGATGCTAGCAAGCATCAACAGGTCTAAGGCATTACAAGCCAAATGGGTATAATATAATTCGGTTATACGTCACACATGGTCACACAGAGTTTCAATCAAAACAGCTCCTGCGCTGCACTCTACCTAGTCTCACTTCCTGTACTCTGCAAGCCTGCACAAAGCGTGCAGTTTCCTGTCTTAGACATTACTCTGTGACCTTTCACACTCCTTATAACTTAAAGTGGCATTTTTCTACACTGGACTCTATAAAACAGTATAAACAGAAAATAAGCACTAAGAATATATATTTATTCCATAACACTATTCAGGTTGTAAATCATGTTTTTAAAAAGTAACTAAGTAACTAATTACTTTTGAAAATAAGTAATCAGTAGAGTAAGAGGATTACTTTTTGGGGGAAGTAATCAGTAATGGTACTGATTACTTTTTTCATGTAACTTGACAAACACTGCTGATGAAGAGAAAAGCCAGATGATGTGATGTCGGGGTACTGATAAAGAGTGTGGAACTGATAGGTGACCTAAGTGCTGCTGAGCCTAAATGCCAAAGAACTGTCTCAAAGATCCAAAGACTTAAAATGAAGATGCTTCAGTGATCTGACAGCTACTGCACTGAACAATCAGCCTAATGGCCTTTTGGTCTGTTGACACATGACGATTAGTTCATGTGGTTTCATATCTGAGGAGAAAGGACATATCTGAATGAGAGAAAACAATGATGTTAGTCAATGTTTATAATGGTTATAATTTAACTGTTCGGACAGATCTGATAAACAGTTAATTTTTTTTCTTTAAGCATAATTGTACTGCAGAACAGTGCTAGTTGGTAAGATTCATGTATTTACTTTATTTCTTTCTCATTTACAACTACCCTGACCACCCTGAGTCTGGTCCATTTCCTATTGACTATTAGAAGGGTTAGTCATTAACCCCTAACCCTAACCCTATAATTTAGTGGTTTGGGCTTGGAATTAACCTTTTCTGTGTTATATCTCTCGGCTGGCCTAGGAATGCCATGGTTTTCCCCCGGACAAGCTGGAGGAGGTGGCCGGGGAAGGGGAGGTCTGGACTTCTCTGTGTAGGCTGCTCCCCTTACGACACAGCCCCGGATAAGCAGAAGGAGATGGATGGATGGTTTATAGATCAATATATTAAATAAACACTTTAAGAAAATCTAGCTAAATAATTTAATTCATTCATAGTGACAGAGGAATCAGAAAAACAATGAAAAACGTTTTTCATTGAACTTAACACAATTACATAAAAGTTTACATATAATTAAATACACAAAGTCACCATTTAGGCATAGGTGCTTTTGTGTGTGTGGTGCTCCAAACAACTATCAAATATGAGAAAGTAATTAATTTAAGTCCTGATTGATTTGGTCCCCCCTCAGTGAAAGCTGCAGAGAGAGGGTCTTCATTCAGGAGAATACACACAGCAGTCATCAGTGTCGTTGTTACAATATGACCTCAAGTTACAGACGTGTGTGTGTGTGTGTGTGTGTGCGTGTGTGTGTGTGTGTGTGTGTGTATGCATGCATGCAGAGGATCAGAGTGTCTTTCTTACTGAGTAAGAGGAGCAGCAGAATCTTCATCCTGCAGTCAAAATCCCATTAAGTCTAATCCTCAGTCAGACTGCGGACACATAAAGCAGCACACTGCAAACACTCCCAGAGACTGAAGCACAAACACCAGTTTACTTTCAGGTTCACTGTTCAGTCATGGGGGAGGGGATCCCGGGCAGAGAGTATATAGTGTTGCAGTGCTATAGTCCTATTTTTATCTGGGAGAAAACAGAACTACACTGTAAAAAATGGCAGTGAAATTGACATAAAAACCATGTAAAATCCCTACAGAAATGTATAGTAAACCCCAAAACACATGTTTTTCTGTTTCAATCACAGTGAACTTTTGTAAACTATTAAACAGAATGTTTTTGTTATATTTACAACATCAATGTGTGATTATAATCAAATTTATTTGTTAAAACTACAAATATTGGGAACAAAAACAGTGAAATACTTTAATACTCATAACAAAACAATTATGTTAATTTGACATGCAAATATTGTAAAAACTATAGTTTTAGTCAGTTGTTTTTAAAAATACACGAATTATATGTAAGTCACTTTACAGGTTTATACTGTAGGCCTGTAAAGGACCTACTTTTAACATGATTCATGAAATTATGCAAATTCAGGTATAGGGCTATTAAAAATGTTTTCACAGAAAATTGTGAACCTGAGAGGTTACTTCTCTATTTTTATGCTATATAAAGATATACAATTATAATGACATTGTCGTTTTTCTAATCATTCAGGCTATTTGCAGCCTATTGTAGAGTAACCTATAAGAAATTATTATTATCAATAGCCTAAGTAACACTTCTGTTCAGTCATAATTCTTGTGTTCTTTATGTTTCTTTTAATTGTAATGTGATACTTAGACTAGACTACTGTTTTTGGGTTAGGTTAGCAATGTTGTTAAGCCCATAGAATGTCTATGGTGCCTTCTCTCCACAGAGCTGTAGGCCACTGTAGCCTGCACTGAGTGCGCCTAATTTTGAGAAGGGTCTGGCTGCAGCCAGTGGGGAGCGCCATATTGTGATCTCCACAGTAACCGGAAACACGTAACCTCCACATTTTGTTCACAGAAAAAGGCTGAGTACTTTGAACTGCCACTCAGTTCATAAGCGCAGACAACAGTTAGGACCCTTCCCTCACCCTGAAGGTGCTGGGAACAAACCCTCTTGTCCACTGGAAGAAAACCCCGGTGAACCCCAAGCTGAGGGGATATTAGATACCTACTCCAGCCCGCCGTCATCTCATAGGGGTCTTCTGAATCACACTTTGTCTGGTCCCTCACCCAGGACTATTTTGCCATGGGAGACCCTACCAGGGGGCATAATCCCCAGACAACATATCCCCTGGGATCCCTGGGACACACAAACCCCTCCATCATGATAAAGTAGCGATTTGTGGAGGGTAAGTAGTTTGTCTGATAGATGAGCTCATTTTTAGTAACAACACCACAGCAGAGGACAGGTGCAAGTGTCTGTCTCCTGAATCCAAACTGGAAGCTGGTTCCACAGCAGGGCGCTTTTCTAGTCCCTAAGGACCCCAAAGCACTTCACACTACATTCAGTCATTCACACACACATTGGTGATGTGGCAAGCTACATTGCTACAAGCTACAGCTGCCCTGGGGCGCACTGACAGAGACGAGGATGCCGGACACTGGCGCCACCGGGCCCTCTGACCACCACCAGCAGGCAAACATGGGGTTAGTGTCTTGCCCAAGGATATTTGGCATGCAGGAGGCAGCCTGGGATCGAACCACCGACCTTCTGATTAGTGGCTGATCTGCTCTGCCACCTGAGCTACAGCCACCCCATCATAATACTAATGTTTTGTACATTATTATTTGCATATTAATCTATTTTTTATTTATAGTATTTACCAACATCAAAAAGTTGCAAGCAAAGAAAGACCACACCATGGTGCATGTTTAAACAAGGAAAGTTTATGCATAAAAAATATTACCGTATTTCCTGGACTACAAAGCGCACCTGAATATTAGCCGCACAAGCTAAAATCAGGGGGAAAATCCTGTTTTGTACATACATTACTAAAGCCACAGGTGTTTCAATGTTGACTTATCATATGTAAGAGAATATGCACAAAGGGAATTGTCAGGAAAGAGATGGCTGTTTGGAGACACACCCCTTTTATTAATATTTTGAAAAACAAGTTATGGGTACATATTTGCATAACTCTTTAGGTATATGTACAAGTAGTGGTAATTACAAGTAGGACACATGTACTGTGCTTCATAAATGAGTAACAAATGTAGTACATAACAATAACCTACAGCACACCAGAAAAATAGATCCGGCCTACCTTTTAGGCTCAGGTGCAGCGACACGGCTTTAACAAGAAGAAAAGTCAGTCATTCACCATCTTTCTCTTCTTCCTGCCACTAAAACCACCAAAGTCCTCTTCTCCAGTGTCGGATACGAACAGGCTCAGGATGGCTTCCTCATCCACTCTCAGCTTCTTTCCTTCGTTGTCACTTTCAAAACCAAAGAAATCCTCGTTGTCAGTATCAGAGTCGAACACCCTCAGAAGGGCCGTGGCGGTGTCCTCCTCTCCATCATGCAGCAGTCCAGCCCTTCGAAATCCGTTGGTGATCATGGATGTTTTCGCACTTTTCCACACTGTCAGATTCCACCGGTGGAGTTGAGCATAACTTGCTTTTCGCAAGTTTATCACCGCCCATCATCCATGACTCCCGCTGAACGTGTAGCGCTACTTTGAAGTTTGTTTTTCGCGCTACTTGTACGGCACTATGTTGCCTGGCGGATGGACACGTGACCAACATACCACTCTTGAACCCCAATCCTTCCGCCAGGCAACGTAGTGCCGTACAACAGTGGAACAAACAAAACAAATCATCTTACGATATGACAAAAATAAGGAACCATCCATAGAAAAGCCGCACCTGACTAAAAGCCGCAGGGTTCAAAGCTTGTGCAAAAAGTAGCGCCTTATAGCCCGACAATTACGATAATTAAACATAAGTCCTCTCTGCTGACATCTGGCCACCAGATGTCAGCGTCATTTAACACAAGCTTCAATGGTTTAGAAAGCTTCGTTTGGCCCTCACTACATTGGGACGTTTGAAATTGAGTCAGTGGGCAGTCAGTCATAAAATAAATTACTATAAAACCAAAGTACCCCAGAAGAGGAGCCCTTTCTGTTTTCCAGATTTGCTGAATAGTAAATGGGGAACTTTATAAGTGCTTTCCCCCATGCAGTTATCGTTAACCATTACACAAATATTTGATTGTCTTCAATTTATTGCTTTATCAATTTATTTATTATAAACAGTAGGGAACTGAAGCCAGCCCATTGTTCCTTCAGTGGGCTAGTGGGGAAACCTGCAGTCAGCTGAGACTGAAGAAGTCACTTGGATGAGTGACTGAAAACGCTACGTCCAGATGAACAGAATGTGGAAATTACATTTTTTCCAATCTGTAATTATCTCAAAACTTTGGCAGTTAATTTAGTATATTTTGAGTTATTTCAGTTGTGGAAAACATTGTTTAACCTTGCTGAATCGTGGTGTAGCCGGTCTGGCCTTAAACTCTGATCGCCATTAATATATACCATATATATATATATGATATACCATAAGGCTAAGGCGAACTAAGTGAGAAAGTGATATTAATCAATACATAAAAAAAAAAAATCTGACACGACACCCTCCTGAATCTGAATTGGGTAAGCAGAGAAAAATGGATTTATTTCATGAATTCTTGTGTACATTAGTTCAATGAACATTTTATATAGACTAATGTATAAATTGTACAGGTCAGATCAATAATCGAACAAACATATCAAACTAAATGATCAGTGGAGCTGATCCTGGTGTCTTCTGTGTGTTTCTTGGCCTGATTATTCCCTGCAAAGGAAATAGAATAGAGTCACACAAACAAAGAAATAACATTTCAAATCTGCAGGATGCAGATAATCTTAAACAAAGAGGACCCAAAGCAGGCACGTGGAACAGGGAAAGCAAAACTGGACACAATGCACATGAGACAAGGACTATCAAAATAAACCAGGAAACATGGCAAATGGGGAAACCAAGATCCAACACACATAAACCTGATGTGGGAAGAGAACAAACACATGGCATTACATGGCCGAGAGATACAGAGAGAGAGCGATTGATACATGAAGAGACATGATGGGCTGAGAGGCTGAGGTGATGCTGAAGTCAGAACACAGAGACAAAGAGGCGAGATGCTAAAACAAAGAGAGGACTGAGGGACAAAAGGAGATCACTTAAGGAAATTAAACCATCTACAGGCATCACACACACAAAAAAGACAGAAAATTCATAAGCACAAGGTAACTAAATTGTACCAATAGGGACTAGAAACATTAATCACTTAGTAACATCACAACATTGATAAGTGGACAAGACTCAAAGATAAAAAAAAAACACTGGTTCAAAGACCGAGAACCATGACATTAACTAACAAACATGAACTAACTCACTAACTAACCTGTGACTGTGAGCCACAACCTCTTATATCTCCAGGCCTCCTTGCTGTTGACCTGACAGCCGTATTTCCCACTGTCTCCCACTTTGGGGTCTTTCAGGGTCAGACTGAGGTCTCCAGTGGTCAGCAGGTCTTTCTTCATCTTAGTGCGACCTCTGTAATGTTCGTCCTGTTTGTCAGGCTGGTCACTGCCGTTCTCATACACGTGGACCTTCATGTATTCGGGTTCATGGCGTTCCCACACGACTTCAGTGTCTTCAGGCTGGTTTTCTGTGGTTTGAAAGGGCAGACAAACAGACTCCGCCCCTTCCTCCACCTCCACCTTACACTCTGAGAGCACAATAAACACATCATGAGCTGTATAGTGACAACCGTGCATGTAAACGAATTACTCGTTATTGATGACACATCACTCACATGCCCACTAACATAAATCACACCATATATGCATAGTATATCAGAGTATTCGAGCCCATATGGAAAAGAAATAGAAAAAAACTTGCATAAGATGTGGCCTACTTCATATAAAGCTCATATGATTTACTCATGAAAGTGGCCACTTTCTCATGACTTTCATACATTGTTTTAGTAAGTATCCAAAACATACAAGTTTCATTATATAATTTTTCAAGAGAT